TCCATTTGTGTCACCCACGTGGTGAGGCACTGTTAAAACTTTGAGTTGGCCAGTCTTTGTGCTTTTTTGTCTTCAAGGAGGGTATAACTTACTCATTGTCAATGAATTTTAAAAAATTATGAGAAAAATAGCACACATGTGAAGGCCCTGTAAAAGTGTGGTGCATCTGTTTCACAGCACAGCAGGGCAGACTGTGTCCCTAGAACTGGGGCATTTGTAACTCTTCCCATTCCCTGCAAAAGAGAAATCTGCCAGAATAGCCCTCGTGTGCAAGCCACCAGTCCGCTTGCTTTCCAAGGGCGACGTCCTTGGTACTCTGCCAGGCCAGGGTGGCCGAGCCGCAGCGCGGGCTGCTCGGGGTGGGGGGGGAAGGGGGCATCCCACGGAAGGGGCAGCTTGTGAGCATCTGGCTTCTGCAAGTCGCTGGAGGGAAGAGCACCGCGAGGACGGCAGCCTGACCAGCTCAGTGGAAAGGAAAGCCCCTGAACAGGAGGAAGCCAGGAAGCAACTGGTTCTTGTCCTCTTTCCCCAGGCATCCACTTCTGGCCATAGCTGGAGAGAAGAGGCCAGTGCTGACGAACCTCCTGCCCGACAAAACAAGCCATCGCTGCTCTTGCAGGAGCGCTGTGTGCGGAAGGTTAAGGGGACCAAGCTCGCATCTGTGCTGTGAAGCTGGAAACAAGAAGGTGGCAAAGAGCTTCAGGAAGGTGAGATATATAAAAAAGCATCTTCTTGATGCTGTCAGAGCTCTGGCCGCGGCTTCTGAACTACCGTGACTTAACATGAAAATTTAGAAAATGCCCCAAACCAAGATCCGAGTGCTTAAAGCTATGCAAGTTCATAGCCCAGGCAAGGACTTCTTTCCTGGAACATTCCAAAAATTAGTGGGAGTCTTGAAAAGGAGGTGCTCCTCAATACTGCCTGTCCTACCTGTGAACTAGCCAGACTGGTAAAGCTTCATTACAGATTGCCAGAGTGGCTAAATTCTTCTCTAAGTGCAGCTGCAAAACATTAGCTGTGGGCATATTTCAGCCCTTAATTAGTAACACTTGCACTGGAGGACCAAAATCTTTCCTGAATGCAGCTGCAATCAATTAATATCAGACATTTCTGTAGGCAATACAAGGGTCTCCTGAACATTGCTTTAGTGCCCACCTACATTAAAAAAATCACTTATATGCAACAAACTACAAAATCAAAGATAACTACAAAATGTCTTTATTGAAAAAAGCAGATTATAGCATCTAAGGTTAAATGAAACTTCTGACTTTTTAATATTAAATAACTTAGGATGATAGCAAGTAGCTTCTTCTTTAGATAAATAAATCTACATTTCCCAATTCTTTTCTTCAACAATCAAGGGAATCAAACACTGAAACACAAAACCACAAGTAATTCTAAAGACTAAAAGACAGAAGCACATTGAAAGATTTTACAAGGATATATATACAAAAATAGTTAAACTAATGTATATTTTCAGCATGTAAACGAGTTACATGATATACAAACTGGGAATTTATATATTTCCTACAAAATAAAAATCAACGTTGGTCCAAGTTCTTGGAAGAAAACTATATTCTTTTAAAGAAAATGAAAATATTTCTCAAATGAAAACTTAATTTAAGTCAAATTATATACTCTAGTTACGGCATTAGTTACAGGATGAATCACAAACTTTTAAACTTTTCTTGAAACACAAGAAAGCAGCTTTTGTCTCCTTTAGAGCTTTGGTTTACTTAACTACTCTGGAATTTCTGGTCTTAAAGAGCTCCTCTAACCATGTTTTCCTTTTGAAGCTCCACCTTACAAAATATATACACACACACACGTGCACAAGTGAAAGGGAAAGGAAAGCAACCCAAACAAACCCTCTTGGAAAGCTCAATTATCCGAGTGCATTCTTTTGTTTTGTTTTCAAATTATTATTTTTGTCCTTTCTTTGGAATGCATCCGCCAGTGCACGAGGGACTCTGAACCGCCTGCCACAGCTCTGTGCTGCAGGGACTTTGCGAGATTCCTTCCCGAAAGGGAAAGGTGTAGTCCTGATGCAAATAGGAAGAAGTTGTTATTGTTTTGGCTTTATGGAAACACTCTGAAAGTGCAGCAAAGTCTTCTGAAGAACAATCACATCATAAAATGGACTCTAGAAAAGTTTACGTCTGTGTTGAACTGATTTAACGTAAGAATACTTCATGCAAATATAAGAAAACCATTAAAAGAAGCTTTCTCATTTACCTAATTCCCCAGACAGGAGGTAAAATGTGCAGAAACTGTCACTAGCACTGAAGAGTACAGCACATTACTATTTTAGATTTGCTTTTATTTTTCTCTTAGATTGGAAAAAAACCCTGGCAAATTTCACTCCAGATCCAGTTTTTACACTAAACACTGGAAAAGCAAAGCTGTACTTCATTATACAGCAACGGAACGCACCTGTCCAGAGAAAATACTGGAACAGCCACTGCTGCTTTCTGGTTTGAAACACAGTGCTTCGTCCATGGTGAAGTAGTACTTTGCAATGCTTTTACCACCACGATGCTTAACACATGAGAAGTGAGTAGACCTACAAGAGCCTGACAAATTAACATGTGACATGAAATGAAGTATTATTCTGCTCTACAGTATGAGCGTTTCACAAACAGAAAGCAGCAGAGGCACAGTTCGGTACGCACGGGCTAGCCAGCGCGCTGTCCCGGGGGGAGCGTGTCGGAGCCGACCCTGGACCTTGGCCCTGGAGGAGGCCAAGCGCTGAGGAGGGTGCCGGCAGGAGACCGGGCGGAACGCCGGGGTAAGTCCCCTCCGCCTCTGGCCACTGCCATTTGGAGGGTTTTGCTTCCATACTGGTAGAGCAAAGCACTTTTCCAGTACAGTGAGCACTGTTACGGGATGACTTGCTCGCAGGAACAGACCCAAACCTTCACTGTGCATTCTAATGATTCTTTTCTTCATTTGGGTTCCTTAATACATATTGTAAAGACAGGCAAGTAAAAATGCCTCAAAGCTAAATGTGGCCCAAAGCAGCATCCTTAAATGGAAAAAGTATTACAGTGCAGCTCAACTACAACTTTATCCTGAAGCTCTGGTATCTTCCACGTTTGTAATTGCCCTGGTCATAGACTCCAATTTAAGATAGCTTTTTTCCCCTTCTCTGGCCTTTGCTGTTGGGGCCAGAGGCGCATGTACGTCTGCTCCTTGTGAGGCTGGGCTGGTGGCTGCGGACATAGAGCTGGTGTTCGCCAGCGCAGCAAGACGTCTGCGTGCACCCCGCGCCCTCGCGTCTGCAGGCCGGGCCCCTTCTGTCCCACTGCAGAAACGGGGTACTGGCTGCACTGTGATTCCTTCAAAACATGGCTATCAGATTAAGTATGTTAACTATAAACTGATATACATTAATTAGAAAATGACTTTTTACAGGAGCACCTGACTTTGGCAGAAGTTCAGCAAACACACCTTTTGTTCCTTACTAACAGAAAAAACACAGTTCACAGGAATTTTCCCTGCCCGCCCCCCCCTTCCGCACGAGGAAATTCCAGACTATCAAAACGTTCTGTTGAGGGAGTTAATTATCCCACTTAGGAATTAGTGTCCACTGGATGCTCTTTGTACTTTTCAAGAGCACCACAAACGGCTTTCAAAACATCCGTGGAGCATAAGGAACTAAACTGCAACGGTGTTGCCAAATAAGCGAGTCATTTCACCAGTCTGCGTGCTGAATTTAACACGGGATCCTTTGCGAATGGATCCGTCAGGTTCTCAACGTGGTGAGAACTGGCACGGAAAGGTCCCAATTTGCACATGTGGAGAATCTGGTCTGGTACTTCCACTTCCTCTGGCACAGAAGAATTTTATTTTATTGTAATTTTGGATACAGTTAAAGACAGCAATGATGGATTTATTTAAAATATAAATTCAGGAAGGCTGGATCAATTCTCATGAGAATGCAAGGAATTTTTTGAACATACAGATGTGTGATTTGCATGTAAATCATCAACACATGGTAGAAAACAAACCATAAAAAAGATTCATCTAACTTCCTATATGGAAGACATATATTTCCCCAGAGCTCTGAGGTTACTGTAAAAGCTTATGCAAAATATGAAAGTGTGTACATTCTATGTACATCTAATACTTGTTATAAAATACCAATGCTTCAGTGGTCTGATTCTCTAAATTATTATTTCTGCTAAACTGTATTTGTTTTCCAATGAAGACAATCACCGTAATCAGTTCAAAAGTACATCTAGAAAAGAACACAAAGCTGGAAAGATAATACAAAACCCACTGCCCCCCTCGTTTTAATGATGTATCACCATACAGTCGCAAAGCAGTTGGTAGCAGATGAAGTCTTGTATAAAACAAGTAGTGGACCTTCGCGTAGAAACGGGCTGCTAACCCTATTACACAAAAAACAGGTTTAAAAGATGAATTCTTTAGTAAGTGCCAAATCATCAAGCTGATATGAATGCTTTTCGAAACCATGGCTATGTCTGCATGCAGCAAGCGATTACAGAGGTCCCTAACTTTCTTCAACTGTTACGACCCTGCACGTGCCCATCTTTCGGGTAAATTCCTCTGTGTTTTTTTTACATGAGCTGCTTGCTGCATTTCTTTAACAAGCTAAACAGTCTGTTGACGACTGTGGAACCTTGGAGGATGGAAGGCGGGCCTGACGCTTCTTCCCCAAATGCCGTTACCTAACCCATGCTGAAAACCGTCCTTGCCAAGAACACTTGTTTGCTTCCTGGTCACTGCTTCTGGGAAGCTAAGTTCTAAAAAATGTGAGACTGTATTCTCTAAGACCAGAAATCAGCAAAACTAGCTAAAATGCTAGCATTATCTTATCATGCTCGCTGCAATATGATAAGGTGCTAACTATTGGAAAGTAATTCTACATTCCCTCCTTCAGCAAAACCTCCACTGCAGGGAAGCGAGCGGGGCGTGCAGAACAGCCCTTTGTAGCACTGGTTTCAGAAACGCTGCCATTTGCAGTTACAGCTGAGTGGTGAGTGATTTGTTCAAGTAGACGGTGTCTCAGTGAAAATGCCTAGATAAAAGAATGCGTATGTACAAGATCAGAAAAGGACCCCTCACCTCTGATTTAAAAAATAAATAGCTGGCTTAGATGGTTATTACTGGAATCTCATCTTTAAAGGAGCAGGAAAGTAATTTTTACATTTTTGTCTTCTCTTTCAAACAGCTTACTGGCAAGGGCAACGTCTTTCAGAGTTCTGTGACATGCATGGGGTAGCTCGGAGGCGGATGTGACGGCAGTTTCAAGTTCAGGCGCCTGATGTGGCAGCTGTGGCAGAGCAAGTGGCCCTCCAGAGGGTAACAGCGGTGCCCCTCCTCGTCGTTGAGCTGCAAGCCACAGTCCTGGAGGAAACACAGAGAGCCCCGGTGAGCGCGTGATGCGAGCGGGGCGTCTCACAGCACCGCTGGCCCACCTGCGCAGCCCGGAGCGCGCCCTCCACGCCTCAAAGCCAGCAGCCTCCAGCGTTTTCGGCAGGCCGACCCCGGCTGTCTCGGATTAAGCAAAATGACATCACTGACACCAAACAGGACAGTCCATAGTAGCACCCAGCATTTTTTCCCCGCTGTTGCCCATTCTGGGGTCTCCTTCATCTAATAAATATTGATGCAAATCAGACAGAAACAGGCCAGGGGCTGACCCTGACGCTTATAACCTGGAAGAGGTGAGAACAGAGGAGGAGTGAACTCTGCAGCAAGGCAGCGAGCAAGAACCGGGGGAGCATAAGTAGAGAACGAGAGGAGTGGCAAAAAGCGGGAGATGAGAGACACGTTTTACTTCTAAAGCAGGGCTACGCTTTCTCTAATTTGGAATTAAAAAAAATTAAAGACCTCAAGGCCAATGGTCCATCTTTAGAGGAAATCTGTCAGTACTTCTGGGGCCGGCACATAACTACCGGGACACGGGTGAACAACAGTGGAGGAACAGAGATAAAAAGAAAGACAACAACGGTCCTGCCTGCTGACTGTTAGGTACACTGCAAGAGGGACAGTCCTGGTGTCCAGCTGCCATCACCACAGTTTTGAGGACATTTGAAAGTCACAGCAGTTGTGTGCTTGGATTTGATATTTTAAGTATGTTACTTAAGAATTGTTACTGTGACCAGTCCTGACAAACCAGAGATTCTGAGCATGTGTCTGCGCACTTAATAGAAAGGAAAAAGAAATGGAACAAGTTGGGCATATAGGTAATTTTAGTACTGAAAACTGATGCAAAGTTTTTAATTGGACACAAAGTACAATTTTTCAGCTTTCATAACTCAAGTTAAAATCCTCAAATTTTACAGTGCTGAAATAAGAATGAAAAATGGTTTTTAAAGCTTTAAAACTGGAGTGTTAGTTTAGGGAGGCTTTAATCAAAGTTTCTGCCAAGGTAATTTTCTGTGTGTTACTGTGCATTATCTAATAACTTTATAGTCCTTTATGTAAGATTTAAATTCAGTTCCTCATCAGAATTTAACAATTTCAGATACCCTAGAGATGTGCCAAGTGTTTGTACCTTTCTCCCTCTCCAAGACTTTATTCCCCTTCTGCAGTGTGAAAGCCTGCCTCCTGAGTGCATTTCGGCTTTAGACGGGGGCTCCACTGCTCGGTAAGCCACCCCGGACTTCCCAGCAGCAGTTAAGAGGTTGCACAGGGAAGAGAGGATACAGAAAAGCAGCCGAGTTTCCCAACTGCCTGCTGACTTTGCACGGCCACCAGGTAAGGATGACATTAACGGCACAGCAGAAGCGGCTGTGGAAGTCGTCACAGCCTTTGCAAAAGTCTCCATGTGAACACCTTGAAATACCAGCGCGAACTTTCCTGGCAGTGCCTGGAGACGGCAGTGACCCCGCGGGTACAGTCTGAGCGTCGGCTCTGAGACCGCAGGGCCGCAACCCACCCCTGTTAACACACGGCCAGGCCCCTGATTTCCGTACAGAAATGCACTCTGCCACTCTGGGCAGACGTGGAGGCAGCTTGATTTGCCTCGAACTGGAAGGAGAATGGGGAAATGAATAGTGAAACAGAACTGAAAACAAACCCCCATTGGGACATTCTAATATAAAGTCAACAGCCTGAGAGAGAAGGGGAGGGAGCTGTCATCTCACGTGAAGCCTGCACAAAGCCATAGATGGGGGAAGGAGGAGGAGGGACGTAGAGCTCTTCAAAATGCTGCCCTTCCCAGTGCCAATTCCTCTTTAAAAATTAATAGAAAAGGATGGAGTATCAGTGTCTCTGCTGGAAGGAGACAGCTGAGTGGATGAGGTCTTCCTTGTGTTTTGGTTCATGTACCTTTCACGACGCCCTGAATTTTGTTATTTTCTCCCTCCATCGGAAGCCTTTCAGTGCAAAAGTCCATTGAAGATAGCATTGCTGTGTTTTGCCTCCGGTGCTAAGCCAGGGAGCACAGTTAGGATCTGTGTGGATATGTGCGTGTTGTACCAGAGCGCCAAACCGACACCAGAAGGGAAGGTTTGGGATGATCCCAAATTAAAGAGCCTGCTTCCCTCCTCATGCTCCCAGATGCAGAGCTCGGACTCTTCCCTAGTAAAGAACCAATATGGGTTCAGCATGGAAAAACCACAGGTCCTCTAGCAAAGCTTTCCGGCGTAGGAGAGAGGGCCCTTCCCCGTGCAGGCAATGGGCGTTCATGTCTACTCAGATCAGAGCCACACGAGCTGTATCCAGAGATCAGGAAAAAGAGAACTGGCACCTACTCTTTGCTCTCTCTCCATCTGGAAGTACTGAGAAAATTCAACCCAAACAACCAAACCCAGCTTTTGAAGTTAATATACTGGGGAAAAAAAAAAAGAAACTAGTCTGGTACCGGAGATGGCAGCACCGCTCACAGCCCTGCCAGCCCCGATCCTGCGCCGCCCGACGCTCACCTCGCAGTGGTAGCACTCCACATGGTAGTCTTTGTCCATCGACACCACCCGAATGGTCTCCTCGGAGCCCTGTTGGGGAAGCAGAGTGAAGATAAGGGTGGGATTGCGAGCAGTGCTTTCAGTACCCAACCTATCGCTCTGGAGAGCCGCTTCCCTGGGGAAGCCCCTCTTCCTTCGCAGAGGAGGCATTGCTGCTTGGCAGCAGCGTGGGTGCCTGACATCTCTAAGCTGCAGAGGTCATCTGGGAAGCGTAGCCAAAACTTCGTCGTCAAGGGACAAATTAGTCTTCCAGTAATTTTCCAAGGGCACCCAGGATCTGAATGAATTACCAGCCAAAAACTATGACCTGCTGACTGGGTAACTGTTCCTTGTAGAGATCCTGGCCTGAGTTTTCCAGGACTTGTATCCCCCTCAGACCACCAGCGGCACAGCTACTTTGCACATGCACACGTCACTGTATGCACCCCGCAGGGACTGACACACCAGGCTGGCAGGTAACGGTGTGCGCAGGCCAGAACCTCAGCGTGAGGGTGGATGCAGTGGGGTTGTGCAATTCCTGGCAGAGCCCCAGGCCCTGCAGAGCCGCCCATACCCTTCTCGTAACCCCACAGACTCTTCCCCTGATCCACGCTGAAGACAGAGCTCATTCCATTTGTTGCCTTGCATTGTTTCCAGTGCCAGGCGTGGTTAGAGCATCAGATCTGACGTAGGCTACGTCTGTGAGAAGCCGAGGGCAAGTTAGTACCTGCACTGCTAGACTTGAACTAACCTAAGAAACCTCCATGGGAAAGAACACGGAGCCTACCCTGCTGGCCATCAGAGGAGTCAGCAGTAGGACTGCTCCCCCCCTTTTTTTTTAAATGTCTTTTTGTAAGACACAAATCCAGTGACATTTACATAGGGGTTTTCTCCTCACAGCCCATCACCAGGACAAGCAGTTCTGCCTTTGCCTTTGTAAGGTTTCTAATTGTGGGAGATCTGGCCATTTAACAGCAATAATAACGCCAGAGGTACGGCGCCGAGTCCCGCACCCACTGGAGCCCGAGGGAGCACCACTGCGGCAGGCAGAAAAGGGCTGCTCCGTGCAGAGGGCTCATCGTGCGCACTGTACTGTCAGGATGGGCTGCGGCTGCAAGCAGGTCATTCACTCGGCTTCCTTTTCAGCCCACTTTCCTGCTGCCTTTTCCACCCCTTTAAGGACTTTCACTGCATTGCCACCCCAGGACAACCGACTGTGTGGCCTTTTCACAGGGTCGGGTAACCCGCAGATGTCTTTCCAAGTTTGGGCATCTTAGACCCACATCAGAAATGCAAACGTAGCAGACAGGGGAAATTGCTACTTGAGCTAATGGGAGATTCTAAAAATAAACAGGGCTTTACTTCTCGGGTTGTTCTTGGAGCCCCAGTCAAGGCTTTCAATTAAATGAGATTTATAACAGCACAATTAAGACCTGGAAAGCATCCTAAAGATACAATGTTCTATGCTGCATAACTAGTATGACTATTACAACCTCTGGGAATGTTTGGGAGTGACATGACTGCTGAGCTGTGTTTAATTTACTATCTATCTGACACAGTATGGATTCTGGAAGAGGTAGGAAAAGCATCTTGTGTCTTTAGGAAGTGTTTGTAAGCCAACAGCTGTTTTCTCTGCAGAGTCAGTGCGTGTTAACACGTACCTGTGCTGGCAGGATCGGCTGGTTACAGGAAGCGCATTTTGGTGCAAAAACCCTAGGGTGAAAGAAGAAGTGTTAAAATCATATTTAAAGCTTCTTCAAAAAGTACACCCAAGAGAGCTATTCTGACCATGCCTTGCTTTCAGCACAGTGTAGATCCACAGGATTTGAAACACCTCTAAGTGTTTGATGATATTCAGGGCAACGGAGATTTGGAAGAGGCTGATCTAGCCCAGCCTTATTGCTTAGGTCTTCCTGACCTCTCGACGTAATGACTCCAGCCCTCTTCCCACGTACGCCCTTTCTCTTACCTCCCCTCACTCCTACAGCCACTGAAATGCTTCCAGAGACTCGCTGCTCTGCCTGCAAAGCAGCTCCTCGCTTGGGGACTGCCACCATCCGATGTCCAGAAGACATAACTACGCTAAACAGGAGAGCGGCTGATCGCAACTAGGATCTACTTGATCCGAAGTACATCAACTGGTCTTACTCCCCACAGCTGCGTTTTACAACTACCGCCGGGCCAACGTGCACTCTGCTCTTGCCACAGGGCCAGCTTGGTACCGACCCGGCTGAGCTCAGGGCCCTACTCGTGCTGCACAAGCTGAGTTACTTGTTGAGTGGAGCTAAGAGCATTCACCGTGCCTTTGAGCAGGAGCAGGAAGGAGTCCAAAGGCAATCAAACCACAAAGCTTTCTGTCGGGTCAGGCTAGAATCATTCTAGCACCAGCTGCTAATTACGTGTCTGCTGTCCAGTCTAGGTGAATGGAACTTAATTCACCAGTCCCATCCACTAACAGAACCTCGACTCAATTAGAAACAGTCGGCAGAACCTACCATCACTTGCAGAATTAGCCTGCTCTAATTAGTACTGAACGTCCTGAAAGAAGTAGAGAAACAGCCACCAGAGAAGTACACCCTCTGCCACGACTTGATGTTCAACCTCACCTGCCCACTGTATGCCACACTGGGCCCATGAAGTGACCTTTAATTTAACTTTAAAATACTTTACAATGGCAATGTGTGAGAGCGGCACTTCAGGGACATCTGAGCAAATAGATATGACTCTCTGTCTCCTACAAGGCTTATAACTGTACCAATAATTTAGCTACTAAAATTCTTCCAAGGACGCAACTGATTTGTGTACTTACGTGTGGTAGTCTTTGACACAGTAAATGTTGTTCTCCACATCGACAGTGAAGGGAACGCCATCCAAACACTCGTTACACACCACGCAGCGGAAGCAGCCAGGATGGTAGGACTTTCCAAGGGCCTGTAAGATCTTAAAAGCCAAACAGCAGAATAAGCGGATGCACGACTACGAGAGTCCCCCCTGTATGCTGCTGTGTCTGATTCTTAATAACGACAGCGAGAAAAGCACTTCAGGATGAAATTACCACTCTGCAGATCTGTCAGCAAGCGGCCTTTCAAAACAATCAACTGGCTTGTTTCAGGGGGCTCCCAATAACGAGAGACAACTGTGAAAATCAGGCTAACGCCCATCAGTCTCTGCTCTGCAGGGCCAATACTGCCAATAGAAATTAAAACCGGCTTCGGAGACCACTTCTTGGGACATCTGCTGCAGCCAAATGCAAGTCACTGGGATACAGAGTTAATTTGCAAAACTTAACAAGCTGTGACAGACAGAATCCAAACCAGTCATTACTCAAACTTAAAGCAACAAACCAAGCAAATAAATAGGTCTCCTTTATTAATGAAGGGTCCTAATCCACCGCAGTTACCGACTGGTTACCACTCAGCCATCAGGGCCCCTCAGTTTCTGTTAGAATTCCGTCTGTACCCACGTGTTTGGACACAGGGCCATCCCTCCACCCAGGCTTTTCCCACCTGACCTTCCCTGCTGCGCTTCCAAGGCTTCCAGGAAAGGCCCAACAGAGCCCCAGCTACGCCACCACCGAACAGATCCCCCCTCCCTCCCGGTGTCCCTGCACGCAACACTCCCTGCAGCACCAGGACGGCAAACAGGACACGCCAAGCCCATGAACAAGCCTCTGGGAAGAGTGGGACATGGCACCATCTTCACACAGGTCCCAGCGGGTTACGGCACCAACTGCATACACGTCAGGGATAAGAAATACCTTTGGAAGGTAATTTCAAAAAGCATTTGCCAGCAGCAGTGCTCAGCTTGGAGCTGCTAACAAGCTGGAGATGAAAAATCTCCCCAGGCCACGCTCTCATGGCCCTGTAGATGATTTTATGAATAAAGATCCAATCGACAAGAAATAAGAAGTGGTACATAAGAAAAATGCACAAAGTCCATTTAATTTAACCTTTTTTCCCCTCTAATGAAGCCCTATAGCTCTCCGCCGAGCGAGTGGCATCCGAGCCCGTTCCCCGCCAGACCCAACCCGCCCGCGTGCGTGTTGCTG